TCCAGAATTCCCCAGCCAGCATGGCTGGCTGGGGAATTCTGGAAGGTGAAGTCCACATATCTTAAAGTTGCTAAGGTTGAGAAACACTGGTCTAAAGAGAGGGTACTCCACAATGTCAGAGCAGACCTCAATTCCCTTCCTCCCTTCATGAAAGTGGGGTACAACAAATGCTTGTCCCAAGAAGAAAATACCGAACAAGTTGATTCAAACAGAAAACAGTCTGAAGAGGCACCCAAGAGCATCTGCGGAGAGGTCAAAAACGTCAGGATGGCGGCTATGACCATGCAATCAAAGCCCTGTCCCTTTTTAATGTGCATCATGCATCAACACCCACAAAAAAGGGTGGGGCTCCAATCTCACAGTCATGGCTGACATCTTGACTTTTCTGACCCCTTCCCCCCTCCGATATCCCTGGAACTACAACAGCGTCCGCTAAAACACCCTGTCGCACCCATCCACACCCTTTTTACTGAAATGCATTTTTTAAGGAGGTGCTGGTATTTATTTATATTGATTTAGATAGTGTGATAGTGTGGAACGTGCACCACATTCATTCCAAACCACTTTTCTGGCTGCAGACCCAAAGTGTTGTATACTTCCACTCCACACCCATCTTAGGCAATATTATCACATTAATCTTCCGCTAAGATCAGACCTGTGTGCAGGGACCGAAAGAGCACTGGCAAATAATAGCTCTAGGATAGGCCTCAGCTTCTCTGGAAGGAGGGAAGAGACATGCATTTATGCACCTCTTTGAACTCAGTGGCTTCTATTCTTTCTATTACACAAGTACAAGCACTGCCATCACACCCACAGTCTTACTTGATGTCTCCACCATGTGTTGGAATCATGGAATTTAAATCAGTGAGGTACCCTTTGGGATCCACCACGGTTTGGCCGCTCACCGAGTCGGACACCTGGGGGTTAACCAAAGCCTTATTAAGATGAGAGGACACGCAAACCAATGTAAAAAGCTATTGTCTGTATACATTTTCCCATAAAGCACTGAAAAAGTAAAACAAAGTTATGCCCGTCACTACGAAATCCTCCCCAAATACCATTACTTTTTGAAAACTTAATAATTACAAAAGGCAGCTTTACTTGGAACAGGTTATATTCTGCAACGATACCTTTAACACCATTAAACAACAACATCTGCCTATCCTTGGGAAAGACTCAATAGGTGGATAAAAATGCCAAATCCAGTCTAAACCTCTGGCTGACTGTGTGACCAACAAAAATTTATTAAACTTGTATGCTGCTCAACTCTCTATGACTCTGGGAGGCTCACAACAAATCATATAATGGAAGGAGAAGCCCCTTAAAATTACGTAAATTTACCCCAAGTACTCCAGCAGAAAAATTTTAATTTTGTAGATGCCACATTTAAAAGCTGTAATGTAGCACCCTAATGTTTACTGGGTCTGATAAGGAACAACTCTCTGCTTTTCTCCCCATATCCTTACCTGGCTGAGACGCATATCCATCAAGGTGTTTCTAGCTTGTCCAATCTTCCTCATATCCAGCTCTCCTGTCCCAGGAGTCATTAGCCCCGGTGTCATTCCTCCTGGATAAGGAGTGTTTAAGCCCCCTGGGTAAGGGGTATTCAGACCACCAAATTGCTGCAAGATAAACCAGGGGTGGGGGAGAGGGGAGTGTTAAGCAACTTCAAATTCTATCAGATAAAATGGAACAGTTGCTGTGTGGGATAAGGGAAGGTTTGGATATTGCAAAGATTCCAGTGCAGGAGCAGAGTGAGGTGAAAAAGGGAGGAAGGGAGGGTTAAAAACAACCATTCATTTGCCCCAGAAGAAAATATAACTGAGGCTATCCCATTCAATTCTTCTCACTTGCAGTGAAGATTTGCAGGAATGGGGTTGACCTCTCTTAACATCTTGCCCAAAATTCGGATGATACCTCTATTATGTCTGGTTCTCACTTCTTTTGCCCATGAAACAGGCATATATCGGAGGTCATTCTACAAGCCATTCTTTCAGAAAACCTGTTTATACCAGGAAATCTCAACAGAGATTCTCACCGTCTGCCGGGGATCCACAGATGTGTGATTCTCCCCCGACTGCAAATGCTTCGCAAAGAAACTGTCTGGAACAGGAGTCAGTTTTTCATAACGTGGATTCCTTTGACGCTTATTCCTAGCATCACCAACTTCAGGAATACTTAGCCATTCTTCTTCAGTAACTTCAGCCAGTTTTCTCTACCAAAACAACAACCACTCGTAATTGAAATTGCTACACTGCATGTAACTTACTCACTTCTTTCCTTTTCCCATCTTTGACTTTTAGCTTGCAAGTCCCCCTTAGTGCCTTTTTCTTCCAGTGAACAACACATAGGCTTTCTGGATCTTTATACCTGTGAGATTTTGTGCAGCCTCTTCTTTCAACCCCTTGGCTTCCCACTCTTTTCACCAGGCCTCTGTCTCTAACCCGTATTTCTCAACCCTTATAATTCTCCCCCAAGAAAAACAGGTCAACCCTCTCCTATTTCAACTATCTAGTTTAGCCCAAAAAGTGGGACAGAGAGAACAAGGTAACAGGGAATGTAGCTGTTGCCCAAAGACTTAAACTAGCACTGTTTTAACATGGCAATGTTAATGCAGAAAACGTTCTGTGGTATTGCCATCTCTTCTCAAGGTATTCCTAGTAAGGAGATGCAGACAGCCTTTTAAAATCTGCTTAGAGAGATCATAATTAATACTCATCCTCACTGATTCAACTATCAATTCCAAATATATATTCAACTTCTCTTCCCAAATTTCAGGCCCTATCTTCACATTTACATTTTTTGAATACATATTGCTGTCTCCTTACTTTCAGATCTGAGAACTGCTGCTGAATTTTCGGCCGTTCCATTCGGTACTTTTCAATCTCCTCTTTCTCTCGCTGTTCTCTAGAAAATAAAAGGTACAGCCCATACTTCAGCCAATCACATATTTATCCCACTCACCTTTTAAGTATTTGAATATTTGAGACACCCAAGACTAAATCATGCACCAAAGTCTAAAAAAACAGTAGCTGAAGTTTGAAGATACAGGCTTCAAATCAAGGCACATGGGCAACATCTCTCATGCTTAAAAACACCCCTACCTTCTCTCCTTTCTTCTTTCATCCATCCTTTTATCCAAAGCAGCATAAATTGCATCTGCTTCTTCATCATCTTTTTCATAAGGCCCACTGGAGAACAAGCTTCCAGCATATCCATTGAACTGCATGTGACAAAAAGGTCATATTAACTCATGTTATCCCCTTAATGTAACCCACCAAAATCAAAATATCAAAATAAATCCAGTCTTATAGGCTGTTTAGCCATAAAGGCAGGGGTGGGGGGAGGACTAAGTGGCAGTCATACAGGGGGAAAAAAAAACCAGGTTCACATCTATAGCGTTCCATGTAAAAGAAATGATGTTACAAACTTGAAAAAAAAATTACTCAGTCCTTGAGAGAATCGTGGAAACTAAATAAAAAACATTTTATTTAGGCCAAACAGGATGGATATAACTCAAGTTTCATTTGCAGCGTTGACTGGTATAACAAAATGGCATCACCTCATCGTAATTTGTATCATTCAGATCTTCATCATCATCATCAGCTGCCTGGTTTTTCTTCATCTGATCCCCAACAGTTCTCTTCCCTGGTGGGGCATGACGATCATCCACAGGGTCATTAGCGTCTCGGGCAGGACCAATATCTGACCGGGTGGTAAAACCTGTAGCTCTACAGAGGGGAAAAAAAAAAAAAACACTGATTCAGAGAGAATTCGGACATCGCTGGGCAAGGGCTTTTCAAATCTAAAATTCTCCCTAAACCCAGATTTGCAAGTGATCATCATCTCTGGGCTATCAAGCAACAAAGGTTTGTAAAATTAAGAGTTAACCCTTCTTTCCTAGAGCAGCAGCATGTTACAGATAAAAAAGAACAAGCATTCTTTTGGGGCAGGTAAAGTGGGAAATAGAAAAAAAAAAATCCAGGAAGAAGGCATGATACATTTTCCACCTTGTTGCCAAAAAATCCTTCACAGTTATGTCCACATAGCTACCTGGAGAAGAATTTTTTAGTCATCCTTCTAGACTCATACTCAAGCTGCCTTATATGCATGCCCACAAATCTAACTGTGTAACTACTTTAACCTTAACTTTCCTCAACGGTGTGCATTCACACAACAGACTTCCCCATGGTTAACTATGTTTCACTCAACCCATTTCTGGCCTTGCATAGTACAGTGAGCCATTAATTAACCTTAAGTTAACTAATTTTGCACAACAAACTAGATGAAAACATAAATAGTAAGTTTATAGGTCATGGTGTTGTGCAACGATAACCTGCCCGCCGGGCATGATCACAGAGGAAAATGTTTACATCAATAAGAGGACATGACAGGAATCACTGCAGTATAAACCGCTGTGGAACAACATAGGTTTTAATTCCAAGAAGTACTGACATATATGCCTCATGTTGTAAAGGAATTTAGAGCTGACATTGGGGAAAGTACGAGAGACATTAAGGGGGAAAGAAAGGAGCGAGCTGATAAGGAGGAACTTGGAGAAGAGATTACACACTCCGGAAAACTGAGAAGGAAATTCAAATATCCCTGCCTTGATTTTGTTTTGTATAAGTTGGGGCAGAGAGAAATTTGGGCAGGCTTTCAAGATGGATGCCAACCCTCCAAGATAGACCAGGTCAAGAAACAGGCATGGCAGGGATTCCAGAAATGCTATTTTATTGTTATAAGGTTTAATAAGAGAATCTTGAAAGCCTCTCCAAGTTTCACTCTGCCCCATTTTAAACAAGAAAGGACCAAGGCAGGGATATTTTGAGTTTCTTTCTCACCCTTCCTTCTATCTCTGGACCAGTGTTTCTCAACCTTAGCAACTTTAAGATGTGTAGACTTCAACTCCATGGCTGGCTGGGGAATTCTGGGAGTTGAAGTCCACACATCTTAAAGTTGCTAAGGTTGAGAAACACTGGTCCAGAGATAGAAGGAAGGGTGAGAAAGAAACTCAAAATATCCCTGCCTTGGTCCTTTCTTGTTTAAAATGGGGCAGAGTGAAACTTGGAGAGGCTTTCAAGATTCTCTTATTAAACCTTATAACAATAAAATAGCATTTCTGGAATCCCTGCCATGCCTG